GTAAAACCTTGAAAAGGAGGCTGACAATAGTGACTGAGTTTCTTGCGCTGCTTCTTCTCAGCACTGGCCCATTTATTGTCCCGAAGCAGTGGTAGGGTTAATATTGGGACGTGTAAAAGCGCTTTTTTAAAGCCTATTTGCAAAAATAAATGAATTTTTATGAATTTTATGTGTAATATCTTAGTGACTTTTGAATACTTTTGAGTATTTGACAAGCAATAATAAAGGCTTTACATCATCACGATCACGACCCAACACGTGGTAAGTTTGTAGGTATCTTTCTACTGACCAAATTTTACAAATTGACTGATTGTCATTTGTTTTATATTGTTGTCAATTGACATTATTTTGTGTATTTTTAAAAACAGTGTGTAGTCTGTTATCAGGGGCTTTAATAGAGCTTTCATACGCGTACCTATTGAATCTTAACCTTTTCAACGCACATTTCAAATATCGTTGTATGTATCGATGTATATTTCATCGGGTTGTTTCCCTAAATAATATAATAAAAAAAACATCTAGCCATGCCAAAGCGAATCATAAGCTTGGCTTATAAAAGTGTAATATACGCAGGGACGTGCAGTATCGTTACGGTTGCAATAAAGTATGGCGGGGCAATGTGCGGCCGGCGTTACACCGAGTGGCCTTTAGGGCTGTCCACTAACACAAATTCCTAATAATGAAGATTCTGTATGAAGTAGGTACGCTTACACCTACAGCCTGCAAGCTCGGGATGGGCGCCATAACGTCCTGCACTGTATCCCTACTGAAGTGATGATCAGGCGGCCTAGGATGCGTGCCACGAGATTATAATCTTATCGCTGATTTTAGATGACAAATGTTTAAGTTCATCGTATTGTTTTATCGACGCATTTTATCGAATTTAGATGAGCTACCCCGTTGTGATTAGAAACTACAAAGTATTATTCCTTTACTTTTTGCATCCCGCTACCACCAGCAGCGCCCACCGAGAACAGGAGGAGCACAGCGTGCACGGAAGTGTGTGATGTAACAAATCGAACGCACAGCGTTAAATAGAGCTCTTTGATTGATTCGTGAGTCACCATCTGCGTGTACGCGCACTGTGACACCTCATAGTAATGTTTGTGAGTACGTTTGCCGAGATATCGTCTCCACTCAGAAATTTAACATTTAAGTGGAGATGAAATTTTCTTTTGATAACAATCCGCCAATTTTTGTTTGCGTACGTGCCAACCCTACGTTAATGTGATGATGGGTTGGCTTTACGGCCAGCCCGTTGGGTCTGAAACTTTTTTATTACGCTAATTGAAGCTCGGATAAACGCTGCAGTCTCATTGGTCCTCTATAATGACCTTTTAATAAGAAGTTCAAAGGTTACGAAGATTTTCCTAAAAATCTTAACGACCAGTATTCAGTGAGATTAGACAAGAAAGAGCGCTTATCTAGAGGCTTATTAATAGGCTTTCAAAACTTCTTGGAGCCTTTAGTATTTCCTATTTTTAATAAGTAAGCTTAAAAAATGTTTGATCTTTAAAAACTTAAATCTGTGTAAAGGAAAATCTGGTTGAGACATTTTTGAAATAAGAACTTTTTTCTTATTATTTATTCAAATAACTTATTCTTTTGTATTATGTAGCCTAGCTTTTGCTCGTAGTTATTATTACTACGTATATGAATTTTATTTGGGCACAGAAAGCTTTTTATTTACCTATCCAGAAATTACCATCTAGGTTAAGTATTTTGGCCATGGAAATACAGATAAACAAATACCTTCGTTTTTATAATTGTACCGTGTATTAGGAGAACTTTTAAATGTCACCATTCTATTCGTTGTGGCCCAGTGTAAAACGTGAACAGAAATACTTAGGCTCAGTTTCACCACCTAACTTTGACGGTAACTATAACGATAACCGATGGTTTTTGTATGGAATTTGACAGATTTTTGACGTTTGTCAAAGTTAAAGTAAGATGGTGCAACCCAGCCTTAAAGCAAAACAGATTTAGACAAGCGTAATATAAAAGCTTTTTCCAGTCGACCGCGGTAATAACAGGCATTTTCATATTGTATTAAGCCTATCATATTGTACAGGGGATTTGATTGCCTTGACTATATTTAATATCTATAAACCTTGAACTCCAGTGTAAGAGAGTCGACGCTAGTTCTGGAACGTAGCATCTGTGTGAACTGTGTGCCTACCATGAGTTTACGTTAGGTGTGTTCGCTAGCGACGGCGTAAAAAATGTCATTAAATGTAGGTGACATATTTTGCAGCGCCCCTAGCGGCTACTTTCAAGAAATAAAATCTTCATAGATTTTTTGAGGTACTCGCTAGCGAGCACACCTAACGTAAACTCATGGTAAGCACACTGGTTTGCTTTGCGATCAAATACTGATTTGACACTTCAGCTGCTGCAATGTAAATAATAATTAAGAAAGCAGAAAGATTCTATGCATCAAAAGACACGATAAGGTCCGATTGAGCTAACAACTGATGTCTCTGGTAACTCAAAATATGGAAATTAAGGTTTCTGATTACCCTGTTGGGCTAAAATTGGAATCTCGACAGATTTAATATCGATGAATGTTTAAACGATGCTATAAAATTGCGATACACATCATTTATCGCGAAATATCATCTCTGTGAAGCTACTGGAATTCGATGCATGTTACCAATCTTTAATTTTTTATACAGAAGAAGTCAGGCATTTGGCCGCAATCGCACTTGATGTTATGTGGGATGCAGTCTAGGATGGTACATAATATCTGCCCTGTAAGTGCCTGTTCACTCTCGCCTTGAAAAGGCCCGGATTAAAATGTTCGAGAATCTTTACTGCGACACGCCTACTCTATATTATATTTTTTTATTTGTAGGCCGTTTGGTGGTTCGAAACGGACTACTATGCCGAGAGGTCCCGGGTTTGATTCCCGGCCGGGTAGAAATTGAATAATGATGAATGTTAATTTCTGTGTCGGGTCTGGGTGGGTGTTACTATGATTATGTATGTAAGTATTTACAACAAAAAAAGTATTTAATTATATTTATATCCGTTGTCTAGTACCCATAGTACAAGTTTTGCTTAGTTTTTGACTACAAGCGTAGTGTAAAAATATCCAAAATGTCCAAAATATATCTTTCAGTGGACAACAAAGTTAAAGGAAGGATTTTCTCCGGCCTTGTCAGAATGGAAGTTAGAGATTATCTTCGCCGTAAACTGTAAACAGTGTGGTGGGACCGGTAGCTATAATAATTACTGTAAACACCGATATTTCTAGCAAAATATATAAATTACGTGGGATGGGATTTTATTAGAGAATGATGGAATTTTCCCATGTCAGTAATTGTATGAAAGTGTGATAATTGTTAGAAGAGACATTACATATTAGGATCTGATGTTGATCTATGTTTTTTACGTCAAATCAAATCAAATATAATAAATTTAAAAATCGTGCGAAAATCTTGTTTCGCGCATTTCCATCGCCCTACTTTCTTCAATACTTTATTATTTAGCCTAGGCGGAGACCACAAACTTTCAGTTGGCCGATAGTTGAGCCTGATTCTATTTTGTATGAAGAATCGGCCGATACCAAATCGGTGTAATGTACGCGCCTTCATACATCTCCATACAGATTAACAGGCCGATCCAACTATCGGACAACTAAAAGTCGGTGGTCTGCGCCAAGGCTTAGTGATTTGAATTAAATTTGATTTCTTTTAGTATACGAATAACCTACATACATTATAATCAAATTAATCTATGTAGAGAATTAAAGTACGATATTAAAATTTGAAGGAGCATACCAAACTGTCTGACTGACTAATTTTGTAAAAAGATTATTACATATTATTGAACGGCACCATATGCGTAGCTATGGGGATGTTTGTATGTCATCAAGGATTCCTAAATTAGTTTCGTTTGACCCCATTTTATTTAACCCTACTAACGAACTTAAGTGTATTTGTAGACATTACGTTACAAGAGCTCTTCATTACGAAACTGCCATATAAGTATGTAATTTTCTCAAGAGTCTTACGATCGGCTGTTTTATTGCCTTTAATTGGGATGGCTGCTCTTCTTAATTGGGATTAAGTTACCTATTAATTTAATTAGTTTAGTTACATATCCATTGGTCTAGCTCGCCTAGTACCTAGTTGATCCGTCCCTAGTGAAAAAGATACGGGTACGAGTAAAACTTAGGTTAGGTAATGACCTACCCTAAGTTTCATAAGGAATGCCTTATGAAATTGCTGTTAAAGACTATATTTTAAAACTAGCGGCCACCCGCGACTTCGTACGCGTGGATCCCGTTTGACTCCCTTAGAGGTTATTTCGTAAAATCCTTAGCGGATGCCTACGTCGTAACATTTACCTGCATGCCAAATTTCAGCCCGATCCGTCCAGTGGTTTGGGCTGTGCGTTGATATGTCACTATGTCAGTCAGTCAGTCACTTTTGAGTTATAGGTATACATATATTTAGATATTAGCTTCTGCCCAAGACTTCTTCGCTTTAATTTTGGTCTGTCAGAGAAACACAAAGTTAATAAGTAGTCGGGAATGTATACTCATTAACACCATCATCGTCAACAATACACAATCCTTGTTCTTGCTAGCGCATCGCATTCGCATTGCATAGTAAGTGTTTCATGGACTACGCATATTTTCCACATGCTCGACAGCGTTTTTAAGCCCATTTTGTTCAGCATGTGGATCGTTGCATAGTGTAATTCATCATTATCATCATTTCAGCCAGACGTCCACTGAACATAGGCCTCGATGATTTCCATATCGCACGGTTATACGGATTAGCAAACTCAAGTGGCAATGGGCAGGGCACGAAATACGCAGAACTGACGGCCGATGGGGCAGCTAGATTCAGGAGTGGAGGCGACTGGGACTCCACTCACAAGATGGACCGACGACCTCAAGGTAGCAGGAAGCGGCTGGATGCAGGCCGCTACCAACCGCGAGATATAGTTAACTGCTTGGGTTTATAGAAGATAGTTAGAATAAAACTCACCCCAACATGCTGTCCGTCCACAAACAGCTGCGGCACCAGGATCTGATCGCTTCTCATCCTGTCCCTGATCTCATCCTGGTACTCCACGCTCATGAAGACGTCCCGTTCCTCATACTTCACTAACAGATTTCTGAGGATCTTCTTCACCAACACGCAGCGCTGGTACGTGCTTCTGACGATGCCCATGGTGGTGGTGTAGAGGACAACCTTGCCGGCATCTTTTTCTTTGTAGCTCTGAAAGAAGAAGAAGAAAAGTTGTAAGAAAAATTACAACCGAAATGAGAACCTCCTTTTGTTGAAGTCGGTTAAAATAGATTTTTGTTACAACTATAAATTAGCTACCTGTCTATTAAATTTTAACTAACACAGTGTTTCTACGTGTATTTTAGCATAAGTATCAGTAAATTATGAAATTATTGTAAAGTTTCGGACCATACAACTAAAAGGTTTTAAGCGTACAGCGCCATCTGTCGAATAGATAATCATAACATGTTTTTGGAAAGGCACAGATGGAGATGTTGCTTTTTCAACTAGCAACCTTACCAAGTAAGTTTCAGAAAATTCCGATAGATGTCGGTAGCATAATATAAAGAGTTGAAGTTATTATTCTGTGGTTGAATAAATAAAAATGTTATCGAATAAATTGACTGTAATTTTCAATTCAAAATTATTACTGACATTATAAATTATTTAAATTAAATTATTCTGTAATTGAAATTGTCCTTCAGTTAATCTATGAAGACATAATGGTAAACATTGCAAAAACATGGCCAATAAAAACGCATTTCATATAGGTCTAGCACTGAATTCAGTCAGTACCTGAGGTATGGGAACAGCCTCCCTACACAAAACGCATTTTTTGATCGAATCGAAAATCGAATCCGTCAAAACTCCATACAAAAAAGGGGCTTTTCGACCACTTTTCGACTGGTTTGCGATTATAATTTGCACTTTGTCTAGACCCACAGCTACCAGTGGAGGAGTGACATTGACATAATTATGACGTGATAGAGCATTTAAATCTGAAGGAGATCTGCAAAAAGATTTAGGAAGAAAACTACAACAGCGCCCTTGTGAACGTGTTGTAAAGTGAACTTAGTATGAGATGTGGTTGCACGAAACTTATTTTGAGAATCAAAATTGTCACGTTATCGTTTAATTCGAAGAGTGAGTATCGAATTTAATCGAATACGCAAACGATTCGAAGACGAAAGTTGTTCATGCTAGAGGTATTGAAGTCTGACTAACGTTTGACGTTAAAAAATACCCTCACGTGAGGCTACCTCAGACACTGAGTTAAGCGCTATTAGTGTGGATTCGACCGAACAAGAGTAAATATTAATCTCAGAATAAATCGTCAGTTTTGTCATATTTCCCATACTGAAACTGTCAATGTGCCAGTTATACCAGGAGTTATTCTCGGATAAAAGTTTGGTCGAATCGGGTCTAAATCATCAACTGTATGCTAAGTTATTAACTTGCTAAGTATGTCACATGACTCCGCCCGAATAGATCGACAGTGTGTCAACTGCAAATTCACAAGTTTTACGTACTACGCTAAAGTGTGTTTTAGTATTTTATGTAACTTCCTTCGGTAAATAGTTGCAGTAACCAATACTAGTTTTGGGTACTCGGTTATACGTTTTCCGGCTCTAATGTTCGGAGTGACCTACTATCATGATGATCAAAATTATGGTCTACTAGCGTTTTTGCCAATTTTTAATGCGTGTTAAACGTTATACCTACAAATAATATAGGTATCTGAGAAATATTATGCTTTTTTATATGACAGGAGGCAAACGAACTGACTGGTCACCTGATGGTAATGATAAGTGATTACCATCGGCCATAGACACCCGTAGTCCCAGGGGTTACAGGTGCGTTGCCGGCCTCTAAGATGTTTATTTAATTTATTTTTTAATACATTAACACAACATAAATTATAGTGAAGTGTTGCTTTGGTACATTTTTACAAGCAACTGAAATGTTAATGGTTATTTTTGACGTAAGTATCTTAAAATTCAGAAAATGGTAAAATCTTAAAAAAAAAACTGATAGTTAGTACTTTTGGATTCGAGTACTTTTAAGAATTATGTTGTGCTACATGAGTGTTTAAAAAGACTGTAAAGATAAATAAATGAATAAAAACACTTCAAACAGAAATTAGGTAAATAATTTAACATTATTGACTCACAGGCAGACAGTTTAGCAAGCGTTGACAACATTACCAATTTCGATCAAATAATACCTGACAAATATCACAATTGGCATCTTGTGCATAACACCTGCCAGTCCATCAATTGAGCACGTGTTGCATAACGCGGTCCAACTCTTGCGCAACAGAACTGCGAAGCTGGTACAGTTGTCATCAAAATGTCATTAATCAGTTAGGTTTGTCATTATCAATTTGTTGGTGCAATTCCGAAAATGTTTTGAGGATTCATCTTTTCAAGCTACTTGACTAATTCCGTACCGCGCGGGAATAACTTGACATCTCGACCTGCACTTTTTTTTTTTTATTAGCTTAAGCGCTTCCTCTACCTTATACCCTACTGGTATAAAAAACTCAACTCGAAATACCCAAAAATACTTGAAATACAGCTCTTGTTCATAAGTAAATATCTCTAATTTAGGCAATAAATATTTGGACGTAACGATATATCCAATTAATATTATTCTTACAAACATTTATATTTCGATTTATCAATGTATGTCAGAACATGTATTTATTAATATCTCGACTTATACATTTATGGATTTTCGTTTTTAATTTGACAAAAACAGTTATCAAGTTATGATCCCCTCTGAGTACTAAACACATCCATGATATGTGCAGTTGTCTTGTTATGCACGCAGTCAAGAGTTTGGATATTTGGAGTTATCCAGCTATTACCTTCGTATAATCATATTTTTATATGTGTCATTAGCAGTTGTTAAAATATAACATTGTCAGGATTTCGAGCGTCTTTAAATATTTNCTAATAAATTTGCTACTATTTCATTGCAAAAGTGATAAAAATATGTTCTATTTTTATGTTTTGTTTTTTTACTTAAACTTCATTCAAAATAATTAACTTAAATCCAATTTTTACACCTTAAATATTTGTTTTTCTTTGGTGAATAACTTGACAAGTCGTCGGTACACAACTTGACAAGTCTTTTTTTTAATAGATTAAGAAGATAATTTAATCAAATTCTTACGCCAATCGAAAGATATGCATCAAATTAGCTTATTTCAATCATAAAAATATCAATTATCATTAATTCCGATTTACCAGGGAACTCTAAACTTTAAAATCGCTCCCCTGAAAAGTACGCAAAAATGACATGTCAAGTTATTCCCGCGCGGTACGGAATTATATTGTGCAGTTTAAATTTAAATTTAAAATCGTGATACTTGCTTAAGTACAATTTGATGAAGTGTTAAAATAATCCTACATTTTACAACAGGTTATAAAATATTCCCAGCTTTCTATTAAGAAATAATTAAGTATTACAGGATTTATATAGTTTTAAATAATGTTTATATTTTTTTTCCGTAACATTACCTAAACGTAATGTAACCAAATAATGTCATTAATACTACAGACAAAAAATAATTAAAGTAACAAAATGGTTTTTTGTTTACGGTTACTTATTCACGCGAATTCACGGTAAACGTTGAATACCAAAAAAAGTATAAATTAAAAACATTTTGTTCTAAATTTGAATTTTTAAATGGTATCTGTATTTACTCGAATACGGAGAACTCTCGCGCCGCCATTTAAAAAGAAAAGTAACACTGGCAGGTTTTTTATTTTCCTCAAGACTTTCTAGACCACACGTCCGAGTTTCAACATGTTCTTGCACAAGAGTACTAAGTACATCAATGCGGAGATGCCTGTCTCATAATCGTAATGCAGGTGGGTAGAGTAACCTTACTCATTACTAAAGTCATGTTACAGTAGTGATACTTGACCTAAGTCCAGTAACATGTCAAAATAATTCTAAATAAAGAAAATGTCTCAAATAAGACACGCCGGCAGGTCTTGGGACATACAGGATGATAATATTTTAGCATATTGCATAGCAGAGAAAATATACAATGTCAGACCTCCCCGACCTATACCTATGGCCGGGCGGAGCGAAGATTGTTAGAGTAATAGACCAACTCTCCATATTTTGCTTCTGGTAATATCTGCAATGAATAAGGTTCATGCTTTTGTAGTGGAGACTAAATGATCTGATGATGGTGATGACCTCGTTCAGAGAACCTTTATTTATTTATTTACTACGGGTGTCGTAAGAGGCGACTTAGGGACACATATCAAACAGAAAACGGGCAGCAGTGCTCTCTGAAAAACATCAATCTTTTGAACTGCGATCTCCAACCCGCCTGCCAAGCGTGGGGATTATGACAAACCCTTCACTATAGTAGAGGAGGCTCATAGTCGATACCAACAATTTATTTGGTTTGGTTTAACTATTTTTCAATTACGTTCTCTACACTATTTATTTGTTCTCGCACTGCAGAGTCTCTACTGTACCTTATTTCCATTGTATCAAAAGCCAGGTGAATCAAAAACCCTGTGACCTGTTACGTCCAGCAAATAATTACTTATACTTACCTACTTATGTACCAGCAGGTAATCGAACCACTGTTACGTGGTATGACCTTTGTAATCTCTGCATCTGGGGTCAAGATATTGCTTTATAATGAGCAAATGGAACATGGAAGTTTGATTAAGTGATAGATTATTTGATATGTTGTCCATTTATGAAAGTGGCTTTACACGCGTGCATATTTGACAATACGTAGGGGAGACCGAGGAGAGTTGAGACATTGACGATTTTTTGGAACTTAGTAACTATCAGCGAGCTCGCAACAGCACGTATTTGTTAGCTCGAGACTTGAACTAAAAAGCGCGCACTGTTACGAGCTCGCTAGAAGTTAATAAGTTCCAAAAAATCGTCAATGTCTCAAGTTCTCAACAATCCGCTGTTCCAACTCTCCTCGGTCTCCCCTACCACGAGATTAGGTTGTGTTATGTGCAAATAAAAGAGCAATTTGGATGTCTAATGGATGGGGTAAAGGAGTTTTTCAATAAAGATGGACAAACGAAGTAAATAATATAGGTTGTCAGCTAGATAGAGCGACGACTTAAAAAAAGTCACTGGTAGAATCTGTATGCGAAAGATCGGAGATAGGCCTATAACCCTGTCCAGTAGTGGACTACTTTATGCTGATGATAAAG